TTTTTTACTCTGTGAACAAAGTTAGAACTTCCTCAGACCAACACATGCTTTAATGTACAACATGTTGAAACTATATTCAGTAAAAAAAAAAAACGTTTAGACAACGTGATTTACTAATGCATCAAATGACCATGAAGCTGACGCCTTCTCATCCTGATGTTACTTTAAATCTTTCATCTTAATTCAAAGACTTCACTATCCAGATGATGACAACAAGGGCATGCAGGGTACTTAGATGAAACTTCTACTCGTCTTCACCTCAGCGCTCTCGTCCTGACGCACCAATCGTCCTTATATGGAGAGATGGGGGGAGTGGTGGTGCTGTGATTGAGTCTGTGGACAGGCGTCTGTCGATTAGAACGATTCTGATTTACATACCTGAGGTGGTGAGAACAAAACTGGCCAATGCACACGTGTCATGAATCTGACGGTGATTTATTTTATGTGCAGAGTAAGAACATTTCTTAGTGAATGAATGAAGGCGTCTTCTTTGTTTTTTTCTTTCATTATATGACTGCATACATCAGAATGATAGTTGTTAGCTGGGCTATTAAATTTTTATATCTTAGAGCACTTTATGAGGGACTGGTTTGTGATGATTCATGACTTTTATTTCCAACATAGATACTGTAGATAGATAGATAGATAGGTAGGTGCTTTATTATCTGTATAAAGGAACACAACACTTAGTTGACAGTTATCCTGTACAGCAGCATCTAGGTCATGAACATATAAAAATATAAAGTTATGTACATACAATAAAAGGTTAATGACTCATGTTTGGTGAATTTTAGTGTTGAATAAACCTCAGTTAAGACTTCTCTACTTCTGTCTGAACTGTCCCACATCTCTTTGTGTTTCACAGAACATGGCTGACTCCTTCCTGGATGGGGACATGACCCTTGACTCCTTCATCGATGCGTACCAGAGCGACAGAAAGCTGGCTCATTTGCGGAGGGTTAAGATTGAAAAGCTGCAGGAGATGGTCCTGCAGGGCCAGCGGCTCCCCCAGGCCTCTGCCCCTTCCTCCCGATGTCAGGATGTGTCAGCAGCACCCAGGTCTTCATCCTCCTCTCTTCTGACAGAGCCCAGCAGCAGCAGCTCCTCCCCTCTAGCCCAGCCCAGGAGGAAGCCTCCCCTCCCTCCAGCCCAAGCAGCCCCAGCTCTGAATACTGTTCCAGCTGCCCAGCCTCCGGTTTTCTTCTCAGCATCACCATACCCACCAATCCCTCCCCGAACAGGCCAACCATTCCCCAACGTCTCCTCTGGCTACTCCAACCACTTCCTGTCTCAGTACCCCCCTGCTCTGCCTCAGAGGCCCAGTCCTCGCGTGGCCCAGCAGCCTGGCTTCATCATGCAGTAAATCAAGGGCAGGCAGGGCGTCTCAGACTTTTCACAACTGGATCTTCTATAGGAACATTTCTTCTATGTCATTAGCCTTTTATGAATACGACCAATCACACCACGATGCAGACCTGCTCTGGCTGCTCTGGTCATGTTCATCTGAAGCAAGACTTTTGTGGATTAGGGCTCTACTCTCCATGCCATCAACACTCCAGACACAACAAGACCGGCCTAGAATTCTGACAGCCTGGGCCCTCGCAGGCTGTACTGAAACACGTGTCCCCTGAGCTGGGACTTTTTCATTTATCTGCACTTTATGTCTCCACAAAGTCTCCCAAGCTCTGCATGCCAATTCTTCTCTTCTCTCTTAGCCTTTTCATTTGACGTGTTCTTCAATCTTTTAAAGGGCACAAAATCATCTCAGAGAACACGTCGTTACTCTCTGCAGCACACTCATTCACTGCTAATTGATATGCAAGCAAGGAGAGACCCTGATCACTGTGCAATTTGAACCCAAATATTCTCCCAATATATTCAGGCAAAAATTGCAACTATACTGTGATTCTTTATATTTAAAATAAATCACAAGGTACTGAGAAATATTTGACTTCAACACCTTTTTATGATCTAAAACTAATGGGGTCATGTTGATAACAGTCAGGGTAGAACAATGAACAAGTCTCATTAACATGTGGATGTTCCTAAAGAGGGGGGAGGAGCTATTGGAACAAACTAACAAGCCGATTGGCCCTTGCCTGAAATGAAGGATTTCTGTATAGCCATACAGTGCACTCCTTATGTGTTGTTTTTTAGGATATTTTGGTTATGAAACACTCCTTAATGATGTCTTTTGTTTTGGAACTCCACACAGGATAAGGGAGGCGATGCCAACGGTTCATTGGCTCTCATATGGACCTGCTCAGTTTTCCTCTCTGAGCACCAAAGACTCCCTACATTAGCTCTTTGTTTTTGATTCTTTCTAAAGTGAAACATTTTTCGAGGTAGTCCATGTTCGTTCCCTACATATCGGTGGTGATTCTGTTAGCCAGACTTTCCACATGTGGAACTTGCAAGATGGTGGTCTTGGCTTTAGGAGGAATCTTTTTTTGGTGCGATTTAAAAAAACAAACAAAAAAAAACACCTCATTCTTCCCAAAGGCTGTATCTCACACTGTTGAAGAGCCATGAGTGCCTACACTTGAAATCATCATGTCCTGCTGACAATGACATCTTTCTCCATGCTCATCTGTAGCCTCCCCCCACACCCTTCAAAGAAACAACTGGCCTAACATCTGATTTCCCTCCTCCTGTCTGTCAGGGTTCAATTTCTTTAGCAGAGGGCAAGGATAGAGTGATACTAAACATGTCTAGCTTTTGATTCTCTTTCATTCTTCCAGCATCGTTTTGAGGTTTTCCCCCGGGGTTGACATTCAGCGTCTCTGCATGTTTTGTTGCTGTTTAACGTTTAGTTTTGTAAAAATAACAGGGCTCAGGAATGTTTTCTGTAATCATTTGGTGATACTTTGTCACCCTAAGCTAAACTTCTTTTCCCACTAAATAGACAAAGCTTATTGCCAGGAGGCAAACAACAAAAGGTTCCCATTAACATCTCCATGAACCAGCTAACAGCGGATGATTCTGTCTGCATGCTCTTTGTGTTTGCTCTCAAGATTCCTCTTTAATACTTTTTTAAGCTGCTGAGCTGCCTTTTACTTTTCAACTGATCCTCTGTATGCATCGTTTTCTATGTGGTTGGTGAACTTTTCAGTGTAATGTTGTAGTTATTTACTTAGTACAGCTGAATGTTTAAGTTGAATTCAATGTTATTTTCAAGTTCAATAAATCTCAAAGTTTTGTATCAGATTTGATCCAGTTGCATTAATGAGTGTTACTGGGTTGATACCGCACGGCCTTTTTAATCAACTCTGGGAGAAGAACAGGAATACTTATCTTTACAATATAAACCACATGTGAATGTGATGCTGACTACAGAGACTACAATCACTCATGTTTAGAACAAATACTCCAGGCATTCATTTATCCCACCATGGTCTCAGTACTCATCACTGATTGGCTGCAGGGTTTACAATTCCTGACAGTCAATGGTAAGAAAAAGATACAAATGGGTTCTGCTTGAAATAAAACCATGTCCTTAAGAGAAGTGAAAATGAAATTCTGTTGATATAAAATATGAATAAAAAAACATAAAATTTAAGTTTGCACAAATCAAATGTAGGAATCTGCTGCTCTACATATAACGATGAGCACACACCTGAACACACACCTGTGTGTATCCTTACACAATAAGATGAACACACCTGTGTGTATCTTTATCTTTTGGAGCGGTGGAGAGTGTGCTGACTGGAAACATCAGCCAGTGGTATGTGAACAGAACTGTGTGTGACTGAAGAGCCCTGCAGAGGGTGCTGAAGTCCACAGAGTGTATCATGGACTCCTCACCCTCTGATCATCCTCAAGGAGGAGCAGAGCCAGAGGCCATCAACAGACTATTTGTTACATCAAGTCCCTCAGGCTGTCAGGACTGTTGACTCCGCCCTCCTCAGGTCAAAACATTTCACCTCATCAGCATAGCACACTATGTAACATACATGATGCACACACAATCTACACATTTGACACTTAACACCTTGACACTTTACTCTGCACACTTTGATATCTTTTACATCATTATACAATTTGTACATTTATATATTTTTCTTAATCTTATATTTCTACATGTACTGGTATATATGTATCTCATTATAATGTTTGAGTGTTTATTGCATGGCCTTGCAGAACAGTCACAACAATTCACTGAGCATGTGACAAATCAAATCTTGAATATAGAGTATGGAAGGGTGCACACCTTAGGTTAAAGGCATATGTTTAAAGCAGGTGATGAGAAAGGAAGGAAGGTGATGAGAAAGAGTGTGCAGAGCGCCTGGTCACAATTTGTGCAAGAGTGCATGAAAGCAGAATTTAAGAGAACAGTGGATGTTGCAAAAAGGGGGCAGATGATTGAGCAGGAAGACTCCGTTATAGCTGAGAAGATAACAAAATGTTCCGTTTTAATAAGACTGTCGAGCAACATTAATCTGATATCTATATAGGCTACGCAGATTTATTAAATTCTTGTTTTTATTTTCAAACAAAAATATTTCTCCTTTTTTTTTATAAATCCATGTGTATTGCCAGTTCATGTCAGGAAAGTTCCCGATGGATTTCCCTCATGGAATTCATTTCCTTTTCGTCATATGGACATGTTAATTTGTCTTTTCAGTTTAGTTCTTTTTATCTCTACTTCTTCTTTCTTAAGGAAATAAAGTATGGCTTATATCTTTGCCAATTATTTGCCATTATATTTTCTTTACTATATTGTATAGCCCATAAAATCCAGCTTTTGCGTGTTAAGTAATTGTTATTAAATATTGTTTATATTATTTTTGTAAGCTTACAGGAAATGTCATCTTTCAGGAACTACAGTTGAGCTTCCGATGTCTCTTGTGTTTGATTGGATGGATTAATCAAGGTGATAATTATCATGTGGCAATCAGAGAGAGGGAGAGAGGGTCTGTGCCTTGAACGCACCACTTCCCCACGTGTTACGTTTCCATAGTTACGTCATATCAGTAGCAGCTCCACCATGTTGTAGGAAATCCACTGTTGCTCCTCAGTCACTGTCAGATTACAGTGTAATCCGAGGGGGAGGATACACAGTCAAGAAACTGAGTGTATCTTGGAAGGACACTCGGTGTCCAAGCTTCCTTAATAAACGCTACTTTACGTGCTCCTGTCTGTTTTCTCCTCAGCCGGTCTTCCGTTGCTGTCTCTGTCTGCTCACCGTCTTTCACTTCGTTAGGATGTTAGCTGGCTAACTAGCAGAGAAAGAGTAAGGTTAACTACCATTAAATCGGATTATGTGATAACGGCAGCCTCCCATAGGACAGTCATAACCAGGTATTAAATTCAGGACCAGCCACCTCCCTTCTTTCTTGGAGTGTTTTTTTTTTTTTATATATATTTCTACCTGTTTCTTGCTCTTCTGTGCTCTTAAATGTTAACGTTGAAAATCTGCTAGCATTAATGTTTCTGCAAGCTAGCCTGGCTATCCGGCATTCAACCCACAACAAGAGTCAGAGCTCCTCCGCTAGCTTCTCTTAACTATCTGTTGGAAAGAGAAATCATACAAGAATCCCCCTTCGACAACACCTGAGCACCTGGTGGATGTGCTAGCTTGTCCTCGGGCTAGCTGGCAAGAAGAAGACTGAAGATTTTATTCTTTAAGACCTAAGCTTTCGGACGCAGAGAAGATGTCAGGAAAGGATAAAGACAAAGACAAAACGGAGAAACAGTCCACGACAGAGAGGCTGGTAAAAGGTGGGTGTTTTCTCATGTACTACTCTACTTCTTCACTGATTTCATGCCGACGTAAATAGTACTCCACCTGTAGCTTTTTAAGGAAACAGAGTCTGAAAGCCCTCCTGTCAGAAGTCTGTATTCAATCACTACATCATTGTAGTGATTGAATGGGGGGGGGGGGGGGGGGTTGACAGAAGTGACAGAAGGTGTTTGTGGAGTAACCAGTTCAAATATCTAAGCCACATTAGTGACATCCGTAAGAGCACTTTGACTACATGATGCTCAGATATCTGTAGATTATTAGTAAGGATAGAGCTCTGTAAAGGTACCATCTCCATACTTATCGACTAGTACATGTAGGCCTATAACACCGCTATAAGAAATGCATCAGAATCTGTATTTATCAGGTTGTTTCTCAGTCATGGAAATCCAAAGGTCTGCTCAGGGTTACCAGCAAAGTATGACTAAATGGATTTATTCATACTGATGTCTTCATGTTTTATGTTTTCTTACTCTTATTTGTGTAAATATTTCTTGTACTTATTTATTGATATCTTACTATTTCATTAATGTTCTATTTTATATAACTATATTTCTACTGCTATGTTGTGTTTTAGAGCAACTGTAACAAACAAATTTCCCTCTGGGATTTATTTAAGTATTTTCTGATTCTGATGGACAGACTGGAAACTTTTTGTTGTGTCAGCCAAAGATAGGACAAAAGCAAAGTGTGAGACCGAGAGCCCAACCCCATCCTTACTACGACCACTTATTTCCATCACAGCCGGTGTTTCCTGCAGGAAACTCACCAGTTAAGATGACATAGCTGGCTTGTTGGTGGGCCTTTTTTTATTTAGAAAGTTATTTTTAACAATATGAGTACAACTGACAGTAAAAGGACAAGCTGCACATTTTAAAGTATTGTTACCAAACTAATGGTGAAGTCTGTTAGAGGGCTACACACACTCACAACTCAAGTTATATCACTTACCTTTTTCTGCATTCAAGCATTATTCACACCATTATGATCCAGCTTTATTACTGTACTGCTAATGAAACTAATAAACTAACGCTGTAGCAGAACTATGTAGATGCTAAATAACTAATGTTAGCAGACACGTCAGACATCAAGACAAAGTTACACAAGAACATTTCACATTATTAAAAACTTAAACATCAGTTGTATGTAAACTGTTAATTGAGTTTAAAATGTGATTTCCTCACCTCATTGCTCTTTGTGATGCTTTTGTCTTTCTTATTGCTTTAAGCCTTCATCACTTTATTTACTGTTTTGACATTTTTGTTTTATTTTGAAAGGTAAAGTTCTTCTGTCAGATTGTGAGTTTCAGGAGTGGAAAAAAGCCAAAAGAAGGATACAAAGTTAAACATTTGAGTGTCTAACATGGTTTTAGATGAATAAATGCTGAGTCGGTTGAAGTCACTGGTTCTCAACTGGTGTGTCGCAAATCAGTGCATGAAAAACAGTATATGAAGCTCGTTTTAAACATCTTTGCTTTGTTCAGTCACGTCTTCATCTGTCTTAGGTCCAAACTGCACAATTTTGCTTTGTAGAAATTTGATTGGTTGAAAAACATCAGATATTTAAATGGTGATTTTTTTATGAAGGAGTTGGTGGTGGGTCCTGAGCATGGACTGTAAATATTAAAGGATGAAGCCTGAGTAACGTCACCCATCTGTTACGACAGGGGGCGCTGGAGGCTCATCAGCAGCAGCCGCCATGTTGGAAATGCTGTCTCAGTCTAACTTTCAGTCAACCTAACGACAGGCTGAGAGCTGGAGCTGAGGCGGGTTTTAAACCTCCTGATGAACCGTTACACGGCGCCCTTTAGTCCTCGTGTATTTTTTATTTTTTTTTCTTACCACTGTAACTTTTGCTGCTTTGCTAAAGTGCTCATGATGGATAGGCCGGGTCTTTGTAACATAGCAATAAGTAAGGTCTTTTACCTGCTTTTTGTAACAAAACAATGAGTAAGGTATTTTACCTGCTTTATGTAAAGTGTCTCGAGATAACACTTGTTAGGAGTTGACACTATACAAATAAAAATTGATTGATTGATTGATTGATAGCTATGTATAACATGTATCGGTCATTCCTTATAAACACCAGCAATGCAGCTTGGTCCTGAGGCTAAACCAGTTGAGCACCACTGGCTAAACCAGTTGAGCACCACTGGCTAAACCAGTTGAGCACCACTGGCTAAACCAGTTGAGCACCACTGGTTTAACTTTGCGGCCATCCTTCAGAGGGTTCCTACATCCGCTTCTTACCTCTGAGATCAGCCAGAGAGAGACAAGATTTATTTAAAGTAACTTTATAGTGCTCCTGTTGGCTGGTCTGGTTGGTTGCTCAGATATGAGTGACTGGAGCAACATTCAGTCTGATTTGATCAAAAGGTTTATCAATGACTCCCTCAGTGAAAAGACGAGGCAGGAATTTCTGTTTTGGTGGGTGGAACCCCAAACAGCGGTCCAGATATGTTACTATCCCTGCCGAAATAAAAAGAATCAGATACTTTTGTTAACCAGCAGAGGGCGCTATCTGCTTTTGTCTACTCCTGTTTGACGTTGTATAGACATGATAGAAGTGAGCGGAGATTTTGCGGTGGGCGGAAGCAGTCTTGTTTCAAAGCGTGGTTACAGAAGGTGAGCACATAAAGACAAAAACTGTGCAAATATTACAATAGACTTAAAGAACGCAACTAAACATGACACACCATGTAGACATGAAACACTTAGAATAAGACACGCTGGGAAGCAGATTGGAAACCCCCCATGACCAAACAAATTCAAGAGCCACATGCATGATGGATTTGAGATGATTTACAGGTTGGAGGCAGTAATGAACAAACCTTTCAGAAACATGAATGAAAACTGTTCTAACACAAAGTCAGTGTGCTGTTTTTCAGACAGATAGCAGGCTGCACCTCTCCGGGCTTGAATTGTATTTATTCGACTTAGAATTAGTTTGAAAATCCTTTTTTTCCAATTTACATTTAATGCTTAACAGTAACTCTTTTTCTAAAGATAACATGCGTGTTCTAAAATGAGTAAATGCACCACCTCAGAATGAATCAGTGTTATAGTAGACGAGGAAAAGAAGAAAATAGATATTTTGTAGTTTTATTGTCAGGAAATGTAAATGACAGATTCATGATTGACTTCAGTTTTTATGTCTTTCTACAAAAAGTGATTCATTGGTCTCGTTGGCCGTAAGAAAAACCTGAAATCCACCTCAGCTGTTTGGTGTTTTGTGCTTGCAGGTAGCTGTGGAACTGGTGTCTGTAAGAGGGCTTAACTGGTAGACTAATGCTGCTCTGGTTGTGTAAGTCAACTGATAAGCTCATTCTGTGCTGCTGTTCATAACTGCTTTGATGTTTTCTCTCACCCTGTGAATATAATATTTAAGGCTTTGTTGTGTTATTGAAGCCCATCTTCTCCAAGAATCTTCATTGTTACATCCATTGATGTCTACTTCAAAAAGTAGAAATAGAACCAGGTTATTGTTTATAAGATACATATATTTAGGAGATAATGAATTCAGTGATAATTAGATGTGAAGTGGTCTTCATGTTTCATTCATGTCTACCCCACCGTATCTTTAGTTCTCTTCCATTGTGCTGATCACAATTGTGTGTGTGTGCGTGTGCGTGTGCGTGTGCGTGTGCGTGTGTGTGTGTGTGGTCATCAAATGATCATTTTCTATCCTTTCCTGTCGTCTGCCTTGTCCATCCATGAGTGTGACGAGGCTTCAAAGTAAACAAACCCTGAATCTGGAAGCCCTTGCTAATAGAGGCTTTACCTAATCTCTTCTTAAGGCTCGTACCTCAGCTTACAGCTCTCTTTGTGGCTCTGCCTTGTAGGCCTGGGAGCACTTAATGTTTATTTATACCACGCTGCTCTATGCATGACAGCTTGTCCTTTAAGTTTGAAATGTTCTTTTCTACTCTGGTTATGTGTGGGCCTCACCAACCCAGAAGCTCTCTACAGTTCCACCATGAGGTCAGTCCCCACACGGCTTCAGCTTCATGGCAGTGTGTGTAGAAACATCAGTGGACCAGGGCTCTTGTTCCTGAACTTCAGTTTGAAGTACTCTACCCCTGCACCATCACTGATACCACATCACTCATTAACCAATGCTAATGCCTTTCTTTCCTCTTCTCGTTCTAAAATCCCTAATTATAAATGGGTATTGATATCACTTACTCATGGATATAGTTCATGACATGTTTTCAGCTGTAATCTCTATTTAGTTAGTCTTCATCAAAATGTGGATTTTGTATCCAGGGGCGCTGGGATCTAGTATGGGACGTGTTGTGTAGTCCATGTAGGACTGACCAGTCACTGAGAGTATGGATCACAATGAGGATACTCTTGTTATGAGATTCTTAAGATTTATTTTTGGGGCGTTTTGTGCCTTTATTGTAGAGTTAGGACAGTGGATAGAGATGGAAATCAGAGAGAGAGAGCGAGAGTAGGGAATGACATGCGGGAAAGGAGCTACAGGTTTGACTCGAACCTGGGCCGCCTGCTTGGAGGACTACAGCCTCCATACATGAGACGCGCACTCCTTAAATGAGATTCTTAACCTCAGTGCTGTTTTCCTGGTTGAATACATTTTGAATCAAAAGGTGGAACACCTTGACGAGCTATCATCAACGCTGGGATATGATGCAGGACACTGTGCATCAAACATTTCAACTGGAGTGACTGTTCTGCGTGACAGTCTGTAGCAAAAGCCAATCAGTGGTTAGATTTCTGGACTTCCTGGAATGCATCACAAACAGGCTCCAAAATTAACTTTTTGACTCACCGGCCAAGGTGGCAGGTAGATGAAAGGATTCATATCTTCATAATAAGCATATCATTTACCAGCCAAAATAAAAAAATGTGTTTTTGTGTCCCATACACATACAGTATGTTATACAGCACATTTAATTTAGAAGGTATTATGTTCTGTTGAACCAATCACGGATTGAAGTCACAGATTGGAGAATTTAGTCAGATTAAGAAATGTAAAAATTGTAAAAATGTCTTTGCTTGCCTTTTATTCTTTTAAAAAGTAGTAGTTCCCAGACTGTGTGTCAGTGTGCCGCCGCAATGCTCCGTCATGTAGACAGCGAGCAGGGAGAGGAGAGAGAGAGGAGCAGGGTAAAAAGTAGCTGCAGCTACATCAAATGCACGTAATCAAAGCATGGGTTTTATACACCACCGCTGGGTAAAACATTTACCCACCCTGTGGCGGGTAGCCCTTAGAAATTTACTCGCCAAATGGAAAATCTACCCGCAATTGGCGCTTGGCGGGTGTTACTTTCGGACCCTGATCACAAATAATGAAGCTGACGTCCAGTCAAAATTGTTTCTTCACCCCATACGGACAGACTAGGACTGTGTTTTTGGAAGACATTTATCACTAACTGCTTGCTACACAGGAACGCCTGAAGAGACGGCCATCTTTCCCTGAGACATATATCATCGTCAGGTCATAGCAAATGTTTTCCAAATCGTGTAGCTCCAAAAAGGCCCTCATAGTCATTTTCAAAGTTTTATTGTTAGTGATGACAGACCTAATTGTAAAACCGGACTGTATTTAATTAGTTCATTCATTTGTTCTATGCCTTGCTTTCTAATAAGTAGATATGGTAATATATGGTTATACCTCTTATACAGTATATACATACACCCAGATACCCTTATACAACTATTTACATGTGAACACATTTGGTGGAGAGATGTCTGAGTGGGGCTGCTCACAGGAAGTACACCAGAGCTGAGTTGGGGGTTCAGTGACTTGCTCAAGGGCATTTCAGCGCCACCTCTCCAGCTACCAGGACAACTTCTGTATTGGGTTGCCAACCCAAGTCCCTACAGACCGAGCTACTGTCCCATTGTGTAGGTTTGGAGGTTTGGAGCAGGTAACTGAGCGGTGTCAGTGAGTTTTGCTATCATCCATCTTGGATGACATTTTGTAAATGTGTTCCTTCTCATGTGGCAATAACTTCAGCTTGGCTAAGTCAATGTAAATGTTACATGATTAGAGCCCAGCCTCTGCAGTCTGAGATGCAGAGCATTCCCCTCCGCTCCACGTTTATTTTAGGAAGTCTTATCCTATTGGTCAGTGGGCTATTTTCAGTGGACATTGATGAAAGTTGAATTTGGACGAGCTATTTCCATATTGAACTCTTAAAGCTGACAAACCCTTGTTGCATTTTAGAATTGAGTGAGCTAATAAAACCTGTCTTCAACAGCCGTGCCATACCCTCCACAACATAAGCTGAGTGTCAAAGAGCTGTATGAAGATGGAAAGCCCAATGCTGAGGTGCTCCGCAATCACCTGGTAAAAGAGGGCAGGTTGGAGGAAGATGCTGCACTAAAGATCGTCAATGATGGGGCCAACATTCTCCGCCAAGAGAAGTGCATGCTGGAAGTGGAGGCACCAATAACAGGTAGGCTTACAGATGTCAATCTTTTCAGGGCTGGCTGGGTGACCAATTCCTCTGACAAAACAACTGGCCCCAGTTTGGCCCCCTCAGTAAAAGTGGTCTAGAACCTCCACTAGCCCACAGTCAGCCACACGCCCCAAAACTACGGCTGCCATAGTTAGAGGGCAGGGCTCAGGTCTCTACCTCCCATAATTATTGAAACAGTAAGGGGAGGATAAAGGTCTGTGTCACATAGGCTGAGAGACACAGGCGGTAGAGGCCACCCCCCCAGCCGGTGTATTGCTCGTGGTTCGCAAGCTAACACACCCGGTCTGACCATACAGTAGTTGTGCACGGTTACGGCCAGTGAGTCAGGCGCAGGCGATGTCGGAGATCCAGAATCTGAAGATCTTCTTACCTGCTGCATGATCCTCTGATACTCTCACCATGCTGCTGGGTGCTTTAGTAAACTCTGCTCTGATTGGCTGGCAGGCGAGTCTAACGCCATGTGTGCACAGACGTTGCAGCACCTAAACTGAGCTACGGGTCTCTGCTCTTTCTCATCTTTAGAGTCCTTCACTGCTGAACTGATCCTTGTAAACTGAGAAAGGCCTGTTCAGTGGTGAAATCAGAAATGAAGAATATTTAAATAATATTTGTCCTGAACTAGAATGGAAACCTACATGAGTGCACAATGCTTTAAATCTATTTAATAAATATGGAGGGATATGTGTGGCTGCTTTTATAACATAAACAAAGCATGATTTGTTTTTTTGATTCTCTGTTTGCAGTATGTGGTGATGTCCACGGCCAATTCTTTGACCTTATGAAGTTGTTTGAAGTGGGTGGATCACCCAGTACCACACGGTATCTCTTCCTCGGTGACTATGTAGATCGAGGGTACTTCAGTATTGAGGTAAGTTCTTGCACCACTTCATCTTTTTGTTGGTTTATTTTTATAAAGTTTTATTTGAGATAACTGTGAAGCCAGCAGTGTAGACACCTAAATACATTTTAATCACGCTCACAGTTTCCACCTTTCCATGATTAAAGAAACGTGATTAAAGGTCATTTTTGACGTTTATGTGTTACTCTAACCCAAAAAAACCTTATTGTACTAAAAATCTTTCTAGAAAGACACTACTCCTTTCCAATGATGTTATGAATGTTCTGTAACTTAGTGTTTGTTTCAAAGCAGGTGATCTACCTGTGTATGAAGCATACAGTATTGTTTATTACATATCATATCTTTACAGTCCCTAAATAAGAGTGCAGAATCTTTACTGCAGCAAAGCAGGCTAATAACAGGATGTTCAGAATCAGAATCAGAATTGGGTTTATTGCCAAGTACATACAAGGAATTTCACTTGGTGTATTGGTGCTAAACAATTAACAAGGAAATAAAACAGAACTAGCAGCAACTTAAATAATACAGTATAAGAAGATATTACAATATATAAAATAGAATTTTAAAATATAAAATATAAAAAATGAAAAATAAAAAACACAAAATGTACAAAAGGTGCAATGTAGGAGCTTTGCAGTGGACTATGAGAAAAAATCTTAGTGTGTGTAACTAATAGGTGTGTTCAGGTGTGTTAGTAAAGCAGAGGGATAGAGTGAGCATAGAATGAAGCTGTCGTGTTGACAAGCTAACCATTGCACAGCATAACAGTGAGCGAGGTACAGTAGGTCAGTATCATAAAATGATAAGTCATAAAGACGAAAGCCAAACTTAAGTCAAACTAAAGCTTTGATGCTGCAGTAAACGCTCCCTATCAGTTTTCTATACTTCAGATGTCACAGCTGCCTTACTCAGGGGTTATCCTGGCTCATAGTGAGGGGGTGGGGGTACCTCTCCGGCCTTGTGCATGTGCAGACGCACCGTGCATTCTGGCTCAACACTTTTACAAAAGAAGCAGAGGATTCTCTGGCACAACTTCACCAACTTCCTGCATGAAGAGAGAAGGGCTTAGAAGAGCTCAAGCAACACTCGCAGTATGAACTACAACTTTATTAACTAATTAGACCGAAGCGTTGGGGTCATGACCCTGATGAAGGTCACAAATAATAAAATTCAAAAAAGTTGATCTTCGAGCTTCAAGTGTTGCTGTTGAAGCAAAGATGTTAGATAAAATGAAGCCCCTCCCCCGGACATGTTGAGGGTCAAACACTGTTATTCTTGCATTGTGATGTATGTGCACCAAGTGTTTTCATTTACATGGAGTCTGATGATGAACACAGAGAGAAGTTTCTATATTTTTACTGCAATTACAAACTATTCAAGTTTGTCCTCTTTAGACATTTGCCTTATTTTAAAACCAGGACTGATTAACAGTTTTTAAAACGTGTTGATCCTGACGGTGTAATTATGAACTCTTTGTCTCTTTATCATTTAGTGTGACTGTTATTTGTGGCACTAACACGTTGTCATTTGGTTATTATCATGGTTTTTTCTTCTTCTGTCAGCATGTTGAAACCTTTTAATCACACACAACATCACTGTAATGAAAGGTGAAGGCGCTGAATATGAGATAAGATAAACCTTAATTCATCCCATATGAATATGAATTCATATTTATATGAATTATACTCTGACGCTGTCACAGAGAAATAGGAGTGAGAGGGACAGATAGCATATGTATATAAGCACAGACACAAAACAGAAATGGCGCATATAAAAGCCATGTATTACTCAGTGTGACTCTCAGGTCTATCATTGAACTTTATGGAATCCGCTGCAGTCAGGAGTTTGTTATTGTGCCAGTAGACTCAAATCTCCTCGCAGGCTGAATGCACATTCAGAAATCTGCATAGGTGTTTATAATTTCATTGATATGGACAGTTCATTGGTAGCTGGATAATTTTGCAGGAAATGACTGTATAGCAGCGTAGCCACAAAATAACTAAACACTGACAAATCTTCCTCTCCTTTTACTTTTCTTCCTCTTTTGTTGTTTGGCAGCACGTTTCCTGGTGCACTGGATTGATTACAAAACAGCGCCGCCGCCATTTAAGTGTACAATTGTAATTGAAGTTAAAAATGACAAATTTACCATGAGCTGTGCCTAAAAACGGCTGCATCCAAATTTTGTTTATGTGGTTGATATATTTTACTGCTGCAGATAACTAAGGCTGTGCTACCGTTGAATTATTAATTTGTCATATAAGTGTAAATATGAAGTACCATTTTATAAAATATCTTGTTAGATGAAGATTAACACTAGCTCTTTCTCTGACGATCACTTCTTCCAAAAACTTTTCTTGAGTATGGACAATGTGAACTTCACAGTAACCTTCGATAACCAGGGATTCAGTCAAGAGTTACACAGTGAAACAGAAGGTGTAGTCAGGGGGCCGCTGCTCAGTATTGTTCAGCCAATTGTTTTTTTTTTTTGTCCCAGTCCAGCCCTGGCAGTAGTTGTACATGTCCGATGTGTCCATGGGCAAGACACGTAACCCCAAGATGCTCCCACTGCTTCGTCTGTGGTGTATGAATGGATGAGTTAATACTGATGGACTCTTTACTCAGCAGCCTCTACCATCAGTGTGTGAGTGTGTATGAATGGATGAGTTAATACTGATGGACTCTTTACTCAGCAGACTCTACCATCAGTGTGTGAGTGTGTATGAATGGATGAGTTAATACTGATGGACTCTTTACTCAGCAGCCTCTACCATCAGTGTGTGAATGTGTATGAATGGATGAGTTAATACTGACGGACTCTTTACACAGCAGCCTCTACCATCAGTGTGTGAATGTGTAGGTGTGACCTGTGGTGTAAAAGAGCTTTGAGTAGTCAGAAGACTAGAAAATAAATATAAAAAGTCCATTCACCATATACCGTACATGTTTAAAATAAACACAGAAAATGTCCCTAAACAACTGTGATGAATAATCCCTATAATCTAGCTTTACATTATGCAGTCAAAAAATATAGAAATTACATGTTGAAATTTGGTTGTGACATCTGTAAAATGGTTTTCATTTCGGTAAATGAACGTCTGAAGTTTGAATTACACTTGTGTTATTGTTACCACAGCACACCCTGAGGGTTAAATGAAATGAAACCTTTAACTTTAAATAACTCAATATGTACTCTAACCGGATCTGGTGGTTTTCAAACCGTTTTACCAAACGTGTTTTTTATCAGAGAAAACCAGCCCTAAGATCTGTGTGCGAGTGTACAATTCGAGTGTAGTGAGTGCGCAGTGACAGCAGTGAAGCCGTCGGCTGCCTTTCAACTGTGACACACATGCGTGCACACAAGCGCTTTCGATACGTTGATGCTGTAGCAGTTATTAGCGCAACGTTTGTAAAATAATTACTGACAAAACACCGGTATGACAGGAAAGCACTGTGAAATTGAGAACGTGTAACTGTCTATTAACTGTGTGTGTGTGTGTGTGTGTGTGTGTGTGTGTGTGTGTGTGTGTGTGTGTGTGTGTGTGTGTGTGTGTGTGTGTGTGTGTGTGTGTGTGTGTGTGTGTGTGTGTGTGTGTGTGTGTGTGTGTGTGTGTGTGTGTGTGTGTGTGGGTCTTTTAAAAAGACTCATGATAAGGTAGCAGCCATACTAAATCACCAACACTGAAAACAACATTAACAACACAACATGAGAACACCACACAATTTAGAATAGATGTTACAACATGTTACAATTCACTTAGCAGACGCTTTTATCCAAAGCGACGTACATCAGGGAGTAAGTACAACAGTCATCCATTCATACACCGCCACGAAGCAGCGGGAGCAATGCGGGGTTAAGTGTCTTGCCCAAGGACATCGAACCCTCAACCTTTCGGTTGAAAGGCAACGAGTCTACCAACTGAGCCACAGCCGCCCTAATAGATATTCAAATACACAGTGACCTTTCAAGAAAAATAACCAAATGCCTCTGTCACCACATTCTTTGTGATACTCATAAAGGTATTAAGTGTTTCTATTTGTAGATGTTTTTGAAGGTTATTCCATGCACAAGTGCATGTTGGGAAAAAAAAAGTTTACCCCAGATCTGTCAGAGCTCAGGATCAAGTAGGGCACCACATTAGAGGATTGCAAATGATACCCAGTAGAGCTGAAATAGAGATGGTTACAGAGGTAAGTATGGCCGTTTGACAAGTCTACTACAATTGTCTGTCTTTTCCACTGAAGACTGAAACATGGCGTGGCTAACTCATTTAAACGCACACTTCAAGCATGTCCTTTTCTTTGCAAAAGAAAGATAAGTGACTCTGAAAACTCCCTCAAAACATTCACTTACTGAGCCATGAGAAAACACATCATTGCTTCTTAGATGAGAGGGGTAGTGGAACTTGTGTTAGAGCATATGATAAAATATAAAATATAATATTTGGTTTAATTAGACTAAAGAACAGATTGATAAAGAAGTAAAAAATGTCATATGATTGTAGACATTATAAATATATTCTGACAATTGTCATGAATTAAAACACAGCCCTCAGGTAACTTGTATGGCTAACAGAGGCAGTGTACCTGAGTGAGTGCATTGAGTTCTTGAAATAAGTTTGCCGAAGTGTTTGCACTGGATATGTCAGTACACCGAACACAATTTTTTAAAATTCTACCTAAAAATGATACTTAAGGTTTTTGAATCTTGAGATACTTAGACCATCAGGTTTTTATATCACTGATTGTAAACTGAATATTTTTGTATTGGAAATGTTTTTTTCCGAACAAAAGAAAACTTTCAAGTAGGGGCGGCTGTAGCTCAGTGGGTAGAGTCAGACGTCTCTGAACCGGAAGGTTGAGGCTTCAGTCCCCAGCTCCTGCACATTCTTTGTGTTTTATAGATGCTGAGGTTTGAAAATGAGTTAACAGCTGATTGAATGCTGAGCACGTTCTGGGCACACTTTTTAAATGTGTGCGCATCAGTACAAATCTTTGACTTTTTCTCTCCCTGTCTGTCCTCCTCGCAGTGTGTTCTCTACCTCTGGTCCCTCAAGATCAACCACCCCACCACACTCTTCTTACTGCGTGGGAACCATGAGTGCCGGCACCTCACAGAGTATTTCACCTTTAAACAGGAATGTAAGTCGAGAGCTTCTTTGCCATTTGAAAGCCCATCTAATTGCTCTATTATCTTTGTTCCACTTTACAGCAGTATGACCTCTATCACTCAAGTCAGTTTAAGTGCTGCATGTCTGCTGTGACACTATCTTGGGTTAAAGGAGCAATATGTAACTCTGACACCTAGTGTTTAAAATGGGTACTGCAGTCTAAATTCTAAACATTGTAGAGAGCTGTCTCCCCCCCCTCCTCTCTAGAGTGGATGCTCTCACAGGTCACCATGTGGTGAACACTGAAGCTTCAGTGTTTATCCAGCTCTGCATGGGTCTGTAAACCTTTCTGTGTTCTAACCTCTCTCCATTTTTCAAAAACATCTCCAATATTGATCCTAGTTTGAGCACGTTTCTTCTCGTGGAGCTTATTAGAAACATGCAGAGGCTTTTTAGGTCGGGTACAATCACTTCTATCTGAACCACTTCTCTTGCCCGTTTCCACCGAGAACATACAGACATTTAGTCATTAAAATACTCAGATAATGTTTTATTGAAATCTATTTGCCAGATAATTGAACATTTAACATAGTAATGCCGGATTGATTTCATGGGGAGTTAAAGAGTAATTACTAGGGATGTCCTGATCCCGATCTCAACTATCAGATCGGAGCCGATTTGGGCATTTATTAACTGATCGGTGATCGGGAATTTGAGGCCGATCAGCTCACCCCGATCTTTTACGTCAGCTGACGTAAACCTAGCACAATTTGCGGCAGACCGCAAACGTAGTAGTATCAACAACACCGCACATGTATCAACACCGTGGCTAAAATGTCAGCAGTGTGGAAGTATTTTAAAATAGAGAGCGAAACAAGTCAAACAGCCACTTGCAACGTCTGCAATACCATCGTTTCGCGAGGTGGTAGCACTACAGCTGCGTTTAATACCACCAATTTGATAAGACATTTAAAAACCAAACATGCTACAGAATATAGCGCCTTCGCTAATGCAACAGAGCAAAAGGCTGCTGCACCGAAGCAACAAACTCTGGACTTTAAAACAAAGGATAAATATCCTTGAGGGAGCAAAAAGGCCAAAAGGATTACAGAGAAGGTGGTTGAATTCATCGCTTTGGACAATCAGCCCATCTCCGTGGTAGAGAATGCAGGTTTTAATCGTCTTCTGGAGCTTTTGGATCCACGCTATGCCCTGCCGTCTCGCTACATTTCTGACACCGCTTTACCGGAGCTGTACAACAAAGTTCGTGACAACATACTAGGGGATTTAAAACATGATGTGACTGTTGTTAGCTTCACGACAGATATTTGGAGCTCTGATGTTTGTCCCATGTCATTGCTGAGCCTCATTGCGCACTGGATACCTCACAGAGCAAACCATCCCCAGATCAGACAATCCACTACATCATTGATGAGAAGAGGAACCGCCTCTCTGCCAACAGGGTAGAGATACTGGTTTTCTTAAACAAGAACCTTCATTTCATTTTGAAGTGACAATGAATAGATTAAAGAACACTGTAGAAGCTCCAAATGCACTTTAAGAAATTGTTTTGTTAAGAGTGCCTTGTATTTTGATGTTCCGGTTTTATTGTAATACTTCTACAGAAAGTTATGTTTTTTATTGACTTAAGGATGCTATAATAGGAATTGTAATTTTTGGAATATGTTTTAGAGAATTCATGTTTTCTCTAACTTGTGCCTATTCAAGTGAAACTGTTTACACCACTTTTATGTGGAAATTAGATGTTTTGAATTCGTTTTTATAGAATTCATTTTTTGTTAAACTTGTGCCTATTACAGCCAAGCTGTTATACCACTTTAAAGTGGATCTACAATTTATATTTAAGTGTACTTGTTATTTAACTAAGCACTAAGTGAATGTGTCATTTGTTTTCATGACTGAATATTAAAGGTAAAAGCTTTTACACCATTCTGAGTAGAAATTTGATTTTATATGTGAGTTTTACAACACTCACACACCAGCTGGACTAAGTTGAATGTAATAAGCTGAAGACATCTTGTAGTTACTTAATGTTTAAAAACATTGTTTTTGTCATACTAAAAATGTGGACCATCTCTTATCTAGGCAAATATGAGTATTGGATCGGGACTCGGTATCGGTTGATTCTCAATATAAAAAAATCGGATCGGGGACCTTAAAAGCTGATCGGGACATCCCTAGTAATTACAGCTGTTGAGCAGCACGTCGAGCAGAACAGAACCAAATGTACCACTGAACCTGTGATGTTTGTTCAGCATGCTATCAGCCTTTAACTTACAATGTTGGACTCCAAAGGCATTATGTGCCCATGCTGAACTACCCAGAGAGACGTTGAGACACACAGCTGCTTTTAAACAGAACTTCAGATTCACCAGGGTTGATGGAAGGCTGTATATTCATGTGAAGGCATATTTCAAACTAGAGGTGAAGTAGAGCTTTGTCTACTTCATCTGGACAATACACATGTCTGTTTTCTTCAGTTATGATTAATCATTAAGTTTTAAGACAAAGTAACTGAAGTTTGAAAATTGTTCTTTTTTTTTAACTTTAGTGTCGTGTTTGTGAGGATAAAAAACAAAATCATTTTTGAGATCCTTATCTGAAAAACATCAGCTACCATGACATGAGTGTTTATTTATTTTTGTGGATTTGAAATGTATTTAGCAAGAATTCTTAGTAGCATTTTATAGTACCATGTATAGTGCATCATGCATATCTGGCTGAATGTTTGTGAAATGCAGTCTGAAATGTCAGTTTCGTAATTCTGTTGTGTGAGGACAGTTATGTTTTATATGTTCTGGTTAGATTTTAAACAGTAGCTATATTTGGTAAAATAATGATTCTTGATGAGCTTAACGTTTCCTCACTTTCTGTGTTGACCTTGTGTGATTGCTGCAGGTAAAATAAAATATTCTGAGCGTGTATATGATGCATGTATGGAGGCCTTTGACTGCCTGCCCCTTGCTGCCCTGCTCAACCAACAGTTTTTATGTGTGCACGGCGGACTCTCACCAGAAATCAACTGCCTAGACGACATAAGAAAAGTAAGTGTTCAACCCCTGACCCATGAAGATGTGTACAATCAAAGGAAATGGCAGAACAATTAAAGGATTTCTTTTTTATATTAAGATCTGTACTGTACATGTCCATTGTGATATTTGATTGATTTGGTAATTATTTATTTTTTACAGACTTCAAATGAACTAAAAAATGAATGGTTACATTAGCTCCTCCCATCCTTCTAACTTTATCTAGCAGTGTAGAACTTCCATGATTTGTATTTTATACCTTTAGGACAAAAATGAATATAGCAACCAGATACCACAGCTGTGTCTGTCTCTCTCTGTCTGTCTTAGTGAGAGAGGGGATGAGACACACAGTAAAGTAAAGATGCAGGGTGATCATGGGATCTGTTACCTTAAATCTAAAGCTGCTCCCTTTTCTACCTCACACTGCCCTCTCGCTGGCTTGTTTGGTCAGGGAGCAGAGGCCAACTGCAAACTCTATCTTCACATTAGCTTCCAATTATCAAACATAAAAGGCTTCACTACCATTTCAAATATAATGTTATTCATATGGGTACTATTTTGGAACGTAGGACACATTAGTATTGTGCCCCCTCTTAATCTGAGGCAGATTCAAAGATTTGTATTGATCCAACAGATCAATCATCTCTACCTGTTGCCACTTTGGTTTTCTGCATGTAAGAAGTCATCCTGCACTCTGGAGTTTCTCTACCTAGTGTGTGTTTGTGTTTTGTGTTTAACAGTTAGACAGGTTCAAAGAGCCGCCAGCGTTTGGGCCAATGTGTGACCTGATCTGGGCTGACCCTGGTGAGGACTATGGTAGTGAAAAGACCTCTGAACACTTTAACCATAACTCTGTCAGAGGATGTTCCTACTTTTTCAGGTATTGCATTCATCACTCCTGCTGCTGTGTTACCTAAATCTACTTCATTTTCAAACACATAGCAGCTTATTGAGGCCTTTTCTAAATATGCTCACAGACTCAAACTGCTGCTTATGATTATAGTATATGCTTAATGATCACCTAGCATTATAGCCTACATTTAGCTCTTGATGCTAAGCATCCTTAAACACCTAGCTCAACAAGTCATGAGTGTCCTAATGCTGTTTCTTTAATCATTACGGTTCATGAAAAGCTTTAACCTCTCTCTGGTTCTTTGTTTTTTTTTTCCAGTTACTCAGCAGTTTGTGACTTTTTAGTTAATAATAACTTGCTGTCCGTAATAAGAGCGCATGAAGCACAGGATGCAGGGTGAGTAGGGTTATGATTTGGTGATGAGTTTACTGCACAACATGAAACAGATTGTTGAAATTGAACTTTGTTTCAGGTATCGGATGTACAGAAAAAGCCAGACCACAGGCTTCCCCTCATTAATCACTATCTTCTCAGCTCCAAATTACCTCGATGTCTACAACAACAAAGGTCTGGCTTTCTCTCACTCTCCTCATTGTAGATTGTATTCAACAGCTTCCAGTCCTTGAATCTTTCCTCCTCTATGTTTCAATGTGTTGTCACTCCCAGCTGCTGTGTTAAAGTATGAGAACAATGTGATGAACATCCGACAGTTCAACTGCTCGCCACATCCTTATTGGCTGCCCAACTTCATGGACGTCTTCACTTGGTCTTTACCTTTTGTTGGAGAGAAAGGTATGTTTGTTGTTTGGGCAAAATAAACCTTTCATTGAGTTGTCTGTTTCCTCTGCTTTTTAAAATACACAAAGCCAGGATTACCCAGAAACCCCTGTTTTTTTTTTTTATAAGTCATGTAAACTGAGTGAATTCTAACCAGAGCCCCTTTACGACCACGGGAACTTTCCCCCGGTACTACGGACCTTTTCAGGAACTATGTGCATTTGGACTGCAGGAACCAGGCTCTTGATTTAGTTTGGGGGTACCCTGTAGGTCTACCCCTAAAAAAGACCCTGGTGGCAGGTACTATTTTCCTTTGGGTTGATTTAGTTGATCTCTTAAGATGATGCATTTTTAATACATTCAAGTGTTTCTTTGAACCTTTATTAACTTATTCATGACCATTAAAAATGTGGCTTGACAAACAAACTACATTTGTGTATGTTTTGTTTGGACATTAGGAAAGTGTAAGCTCCATTAAAATACCATCTTTGATTATATTACATCCTACCTTGGTGATGGTAAATCTTTTTCAGAAATCCAATTTTGAAATCCAACAAAGATCTTGTGACTGATGTTTGAAACTTCTTTTGTTGAAATCTAGTTCTTTATTTTGGGAATTCATTGCAGGGGTTTAAATCATTCATCATCTTCAGAGGTGTGTCTCTGGCTTTGGCTGAAATGAGGGGAGTGAGGTATCCAATCACAGGGCAACTTTAAGTGTGAGTGCGCCCTCACTTCCTCAAAGAGAAGTCCCTGGAACTAAAAGTTCTTGGGACCTTTGGAAGTAAATGGGGCTATAGATGGTGGAGTTTGAAAATAGTCCAAGAGAAATGAAAACATCACGCCATAAGAAGTTGTCAAATGTTGCTTTTGGTGTATAAATGATTCTGTTAGTGTTTTATCTTGTGTAGGAGTACATTAAGTATGTATGGTTGTTTCTTTTGAGAATCCTGTTTTAAAGCAGTCTTCATTCTGCCCCACAGTCACAGAGATGTTGGTGAATGTACTGAACATCTGCTCTGATGATGAACTCATGTCAGAGGGAGACGACCAATATGAAGGTAAGACAAAAAGTCATAGTTCATACTTTTACTGGTTGATTCTGTCCCCACTGGATGTTGGTAGTCTGCTTTTATTAGAGCGTGTAGGGCTCGAGTTGTTCACTTTCTCCATTGTGTCTGTTCTCCTGTCACTTAATAGTATCTTCAGGTTAGTTTGTAAATAGCTTTTCATGTCATGTGATTGGTATGAAGCACTTCCTTTTCATCATGTCTGAAGTTAAATGTGGGGTGACAACCCTGTTCACCATCTTCACATGGCAGCCTCTTAGAGTGGGAACTTTAAATGGTCCTAACATGTTGCACTGCTGTGATCCAGGATGTAAAAACATTGGAACATATCCACCAATAAGATGACTTTAAAGATGTATCAGACCATGTTCTTGTTGTTTTTCTGTCACTGTAAAGAACATATGGAGTAAAGGAGGATTTATTTTGAATACTCCAGCTGCTATACTTTTCTTGTTTTTAGGTGGAACCTCAGCAATGCGCAAGGAGGTGATCCGGAACAAGATCCGCGCTGTAGGGAAGATGGCCCGAGTCTTCTCCGTCCTCAGGTCTGACCCTTTGATTTACTTCTTTTGTGATGAGGACCGCCCTTGAAATCCTCCTGATCTGGTTGTTCACATATTCACCTCAAAGCAGGAGACTCTAGTGGTTAGATGAGCGTTTAGACACGTCCAAACACTTGAAGGCTAAGAGAGAAGTCCAGTCTTCTCCTCTAACTTCAGCATGTTGTTGTTTACACTGTAAGGCCATGTTCACACTCGACTTCTTTTTTACATACAACCCTATGGAAACAGGAAAAAGGATATCACCTTTTCAAACAGCGCTGTGCCCGACGCCTTTTTCAGTTGAATTGTTTGAACTTTTCAGAACAGCGCCGTGAGACATCAGCCTTTCTGACAGCTGACCAATCAGGACGAGTCGTGTAGGTCTGCGTGTACCTTCCCTAGTAACCTACGTCCCTGGTTACCCAGACATATGAATGCATACATAAACCATGCATCTGTTGTTCAAGGAGCATCCTCCTCCTCAAACGCCATGCAATGGTTGCACTGTATTCGACATTTTACCAGCCAGCGTTATCGGTAGAACGATGTCAGACCAGAACTTCCAGCAGATACGACAACGTGAGATAATACGATGTATGTGGTATGAAACTCTAAATAAACCTTATAAACACATAAACAAACACACAAACAGTCGTTTTTCTGAACTGTTAAAACGGAGTGTTTTATTCTGAAAATTAACCGGATGTTTTAATGTTGTATCGGTGTCTGACTTCCCGTCCTGTTTGTTCTTTTCTGTGCTAAATTGATGCGTCTGCTCCGGGACGGTTGCGCCGTAGGCTAGATCCCGTTGCTAAGGTTACAGAACACACAAGGTGCTGAAGTCCAGTGTGAAGACGGCCTGAGCACTCTCTTTGATCCTGGGTAGATCAACGTATAGATACATAATAAAGGTCTGCAGGAGGTGTCTGTATGTTCACAGCTTCTGATTCTGAACGTATTCAATCAATTCTTTTTGATTTTTGCCAAACGTGATGTGATTTCCTTCTGTCCTTTTTGCTTTGACCAGCATGTTAATGATATCCATTAATACTGTTTATATCATGTTGAATACTGGTCCAGTGTGGTAACGTTAGCTGTACCTGCAGTCCATCAGAGCTCTGCTGAGTAAAGCCAGTCCACCACCAGTTAGGAGGCTTCACCTACACATACTGGTACAGCAAATAAAGATCTTTAACTTCAAATATTTATGCAGTCATTCCTTTAAGTTACAATCCAGTCCATCCAATGATTTCCTCTAAGTATGATATTTAACAGGATGAACTTAATATACGTTGTACTACTTTACCCGCTCACTCACAGGATTCAAACCTGTCGGCTGTCTTCACTCAGTTCACTCTGCATTGTCACTAAAAAAAAATATGATAATCCCTCTTTGAAAAAAATTACTATTTAATTGTCCATCAGGAGGTTTCACTAACTCTCACAATCCATCCAATTGAAGTGTGTTCATTTAAACCATGTTTACACACATCATAACACTTCCTTAAAATTATTAAAATGACAGAAGTTGTGAGTGTTGTTGTGGAGTGTAGACCCGGACATGTAAGGACATTGATTACAGTCTTTGTCTGATTAGGTAGAGATTATATATCCAGTGAGGGCTCAACCAACAACCTTTGGTTACAGAACAGCCTGGTGACCAGGATGTAATCTATGGGTGTGTTTTGTTTGTTGACTAGGGAGGAAAGTGAGAGTGTGTTACAACTGAAAGGCTTAACTCCGACAGGAACTCTCCCTCTGGGTGTGTTGTCAGGGGGGAAGCAGACCTTACAAACTGGTAAGTGTGTTCAATACTTTGTTCTTTCATTCCTTTTTGGACTTTTCTCACCATTTCACCAAATGCCTAATTTTTTTTAAAGCCTTGAGTGGTGCCTTGTAGGCGTGACTCAGGCAGCCTGATGTTACAGTCCCAATTCCTGAAAAATTCACTTTGTAAAATGTAAATGAAAACAGAACATGATGATTCACAAAACATTAAAAGCCCATATTTAATTTATAACAAAGACAACTGAGAGATGTCTTTCAATCTTTGAATGATATTATGTACTCTAGTCCAGCCTTTCCCAAACTTAAGACTGTCGCGGCCCACTTTGAAATACTATATTACTCCAGGGTCTGTTATAAAATAAAAGTTATGACTACAGCTCCCACGTTCAGTAAGGGTAAAATGTTGGACATGACAACATGATCTTATGGCAAGATAGACACAAAAGTTTACTAAACAGATATTAAAATATCATATGATATTATGTCCATGAATAGTCATTACAAGCCTTACTAATCACTCTGTTTGAGGGGTTGGCTCATGGTAAATATTATACTTGGTGGAGGCCTTTTCACGGCCCGCCTGTAGTACCCACACGACCCACCAGGGGGCCGCGGCCCACACTTTGGGAAGCACTGCTCTAGTTGATAATATCCACAGATTCTGTGGAGAAGTCTTTCACTGAGTGGTAAACCCCTCCCCCTTTTTACTACTCTTTTTATACTTATCATAACCCTCAGCATTTCACAACTTTCCCCTCTCTGTCCTGATGTCCAGTTAGGGAGACTAGCTGGACATCCCTTTGAAGGCTTGTAGATCAATGATACCCCCACATGAAGCTCTGGCTACACTTTGACTCAAGCCTCCCACCCAGGCAGAATAAAGTTTTTGGGCTGAGCTCTAGGCTGTCTGGGTGTGGAGGGCATCCTGCCGTCTGGATCTGGGTACTAACCTTGTGATCTAAAGGTCAGTACCTGTGCTCGTCCATCAGAGGAAATGCAGGGTGTCAGGCTTTGTCATGCTGGAGTCTCACAGAAGTCGCAGGGCAGTCAAAGGGAAAACCACATCTGTGACCTTTTGGAGAATATCAATGCCCTGGACTTCTCCCCTAGCTGCAGCTTTGAACAAGGGAGGCCAACTGGGGGTGGTGTACCTATTCTATCCAATCCAGATTCTTCAAGTTGTATTTCCTGCCTTCTGTTCAGTTTTTGAAGCGCAGTACTTCAAAAAATAAACGTTCATTTCAAGCTTTCTGACGAGCAGATGTGTCACCATTTAATGCTGCTAAAGAGGAGAGATTGCAGCTACAATGCAGCCTATGCTACCTGCTATCTGCAAACTTTACATTTCAATGTGTAACTGTGAGGAAGCTCAGTGAGAGGTGAGAGAATCACCTCGCTGCAGTCAGGTGTGTGTCACTGATTGGCTTTGATTAAGCTCAGGTGCTCTGTGCTGACTCATGATGTCACCTTCAGAGGTAGAGAGGTTCTCCCTGTGTTCCTCCAGTGTTCTGTGCTGACTCATGATGTCACCTTCAGAGGTAGAGAGGTTCTCCCTGTGTTCCTCCAGTGTTCTGTGCTGACTCATGATGTCACCTTCAGAGGTAGAGAGGTTCTCCCTGTGTTCCTCCAGTGTTCTGTGCTGACTCATGATGTCACCTTCAGAGGTAGAGAGGTTCTTCCTGTGTTCCTCCAGTGTTTTGTGCTGACTCATGATGTCACCTTCAGAGGTAGAGAGGTTCTCCCTGTGTTCCTCCAGTGTTTTGTGCTGACTCATGATGTCACCTTCAGAGGTAGAGAGGTTCTTCCTGTTTTCCTCCAGTCCTCTGTGTGTATATAAACACTAACACAGATCTGTGTGTGTATTACATTTCCATTGTCTCCCAGAGTTTAAGTTGGGGTGTGACTTCAGTCTTTGGTGTTATCTCTTTGCTTTTTGTTTAGTGTTTTCTGGGTCTCCTGGACATTTTAGTTCAGAGTCAGCTGTGGTTTAGTAGTTCATCATGTTTGGTGCATTAGTTAGTTTAGCTTGTTGTGACTCTATACAGTTTCATTGTTTTTTTCCCTTTCCAATCTATTGTTTGTGATTCTTGTGGTTAACCTTCTGGGTTAGGCTTATTACAGCAGCATGTTCCAGTAAGAAGAGAATACAGCTGTTTATGTTTCAAAGAAAAATAAAAAACATCTTTAAAGAAAAATATGAATCATCATGTTCAGTTCACTGCTGAATAGATCTCAATGATACTCAATTATAAGTAATTGTTCTGTAGTCATGTGTGTTCTTCCACTTTGACTTGGAGCCTCATTGTGTATTGTTTTTGTTGTTCATCTCAACATGCACTCTAAGCGCTCAGCCGTACCCCCCCTCCCATCACCTACACTATTTTAAATCTCTGCCTTCCTACCTGCTTACTTTCACTTTCCAGGTGCTCTGGTTCTGATGATGATTGTCTGTCCTGTTAGAACACAAGAGTTCACTCATGTAACTGTTGTGTTTTTCTGTCTCTTTGCTGCCTTTGATGACTCCTTCTCCTTCTTCTCCACACTCTCTTTAAAAAGCTACGGTAGAGGCAGCTAAAGCAAAAGGTATGGATGGCTGTTTGCCTCATGTTTCTGTGTGTTTCAAATGTATTTGTGTCCCTTCTTCTTGGTTTTGAATGTCTCTGTAGTGTTCCCACAGTTTTATTATTCTATCATATTTTATGGATTTAGTGCAGGTTGCTCTTGTTTGTTCCAGAGTAAAACAGGTTAATTGGATAGATTTGTGTCCATAGATCAAATAATGAGAGCAGAGTAGAGGAGGAGACATCCCCTCTGTTTACATGTGCTGCTGTCATGGTCTTTTAATATCTCAAAGTGAATATTCCTGGTTAAAAAAAGGTTCAATAAAATAAAGATCAATGTATATTTGTTCTGTTGCAAAGTTACGCATACCTTTAAAAGTAAACATTTCCACCCAGTCCTAAAGAAGTTCACCACCACAGAGGATCAGATATTAAAAGACAAACCATATGAAGGGTATTTTAGAATAATTCAGATTACTGCTTTGGTACCTCATACCAACTGTTACGGCCGATCAACAACTGAGAAATGAAAACAAAGCAATGAATCCCATTTTAGACTGCAGAACGGTTTCCTGTTTCGAACTATACTGTGCTCACCATTTTCAATACTGCTCTGACTTCATACAGATGAAAACCAGAACACTTTCCAATACAGCCCCCATGTACAAAATGAAGCTTTGCCTTGGTTCATGCAGGATGTCATAATGTAATGTGCTGACAGCCAGTTGATTGAATCACAGCTTGTTCTCACATCAGGTCCATTTAAACGTCCGTCTCACCTCTCTCTGCACGCCGTGCTGCTGTTAGCTTTGCCTCCTCCAGCCTTTGAGTTTAGTGATATGCTGCTCAGCTAACCCAGGGAGAATCTAGTAAACAGTTTTTCCATGTTTGTAAGATAATTGTTAGAGTCATGACGAGAGTCTTCCGACTGATATTCACATTTTTTTTGGTATATTCTGTGTTTAGAGTTACAACAAACAGAAATGTTTGAAGCTTATATAATTCTATAAGAGTAATGCTTTGATGAGATAAAGGCATTCAAATAGTGCTGCCTCACTTTTCCTTCAGTGAGTTAGGCCCGTGCTGAAAAGGTTTGTGTGAATGACTTTTTACATATTGACATACTTTCCCTCAAACTGTGTTCACAAGGGGATTTTATCTTCAGAGAGAAAAGCCCTCTAAGACCTAGCTAGGATAAGAGCAGGGACATTCCTGTCGGGGATATTTTCAGCAGCTAATCTTATTACACCATTTCACTGTTGCTCCACTGTGGGCACCTACAACCAGCGGGCTGTAGTGATGGTTAGTTTACCTGAAGTCCTCATGTCCTTCATGCTCAACACATCAACAACAATGAACGCTTCAGTGTGAGCTGTACACTTTAGAATAACCATCATCAATAAAGGCTAAGGTTAATACAAATGTACTTCATAGATATTTGCCTGTTAACAGACAATGAATGTTTATAATGTTTACTTTGGATAGATCTGAAGAGTAAAATACGTAATTAATTGTCAGTTTCAATTTATGTGTTTTGTTTGTGGTCTGCATAAGTCTTACAACACAGAGAGAAATGCTCTGTTTCAAATGTGCTCTCCTTGTGATGTCACAGTGGGATTCTGGTAAAAAAAAAAAAAAAAAAAAACTCCCCTCCCCTGGTATCTCCACCCATGAACTCCACCCCCAGCCTAGAGCAAAACTTTTGCACAGGTCCGCCATCTTTATTCTCTCTACAGAGGAGTGATGTCTACGGGGAAAACTCAGGTGGGGGGGGCCTCATTTCATTTAAAGAGACACACACACCAAAACGGAGCGTTCTGAGAGAGCTGGTTTAGACAGGGTCACAAACCTCCTCTGGTGCTTGATTCATGTTATATTTTGACCAAAGCACAGCATTTAGACCACAGGGGACTGTTTGAAAAGGTGGAAAAGGGGGATTATATGTCCTCTTTAAGTTTTGGAAAGTGTTCTGGTTTCAGTTTGAAGGTAGTTTGTCGTCCCAGTAGTATTGACTTAACTTAACAGATACCTGCAGACAAGTGCAGCTGTAGATCAAAACGTTTCAATTTCAGCCACAAATCTACCTTATTGTCACGAAAGCCAATCAGCATTTAGATTTCCTGACTGCCTTGAATGCATCATTAATGACCTCCATTCAACAAACAAACATCTTCTCTCACAAAACTGCATCATGATGATGTTTTGGTAAACATCAGACCCGTTCATTTGAAAGAAAAGAGGTTCAATATCCAGGTTTATAGCTCTTCAGTTAGCTGGGATGAACCCTCTGGGGTTAACCCTTGAGGCTCCACAGAAACAGATGAACGGCAACTCTTAGGGAAAATGAAATGATGGTGTTAACTTAATGATGTAACTACCCTCTTTTCATCTGAATACATATGGTCCATGCTACATTTCATAGAAATAAGTCTTTAAGCCATTAGTCCATGACATACAGTTCAACCTGTTAAGCATTTATTTATAGCTGATTATTACAAATATGAACTCTTCCTTATTTCACATTATCTTTATATACTTAATACATTTTATCTAACAGTCTGAACCTCATATTTCTTAAAGGCTTCACAAATTGAAACATGAATCTGTATAGACATTGGGTCATATATGTAGTAGAAATGTGAAATACATTTTGAAGTTGGTGCCTTCTTGGCTGAGAAAAGGCAGAAAGTGTCTTTTTGGCTCATGTGGATGAAAGACAACAACTCCCAGAATACACAGCTCCGCAGGCCACTACCACTAAGGTCCTCTATTTACAGACATTTACTACAACACATAATGGCCGTTTCCTCAACTGATTCAGCGATTTCTTCCAGAATTGATCTTGTAAATTCCTGTCAGAAAACAGGATCATGTCTGTGTCCATAGACAAACAGTGAGAGCACCGACACTACCAGTCCGCCCCAGCTCGAGCCGGCCCCCGGGCTGCAGCAGCCACGGCAGCAGAGGCAGCAGCCGTCTCGTCACTATAATGCGGCTCGTAGAGATAGCCACTAACATCCAGTTCGAGCACAAGACCTTCAAAATCCCCTTCATCCATATCAGTTTGAAGTTGAAACATACTTTTATCATACATTTATTCTTCTCAACTTTCTCCATAGAGCCTGTTAGCATAGCTTCCTAGCAATATGGCGGACGTTAAGTTTCGATTCTGGGAGTGAGTTCCCACCCACTGATCTGTGATTGGTCTGTAGCTTCAGTGGTCGAAAATATAAGGAACTATCATTGTAGTTTCACCCCGCTAACCGCAACAGCTTCCAGTGACTCAAAAATCATCATTTTGCATCATCGGAGGCTCCTTTTAAGACTTAAAAATACAAAGATTTCCCATCTCAGGGAAAATGACGCATGACCATTCAAAAATACTACCAGGTTTCTAATGATACAAAGCTTAATGCTAATGGGGGAAGTATCCCTTTAAGTTTGTTGGTTTGCGCCCTGACTAGTTTCCTGTGTGTGTACGATGCAGTAAAGCCGAACTACAAAGGGTCATTAGGGTCATTGTGTCTGTACATTTTGTAAAGATCAACATCACACCAGACTTAACTGCTTGGTTGGTCATTCTTACCATTCTTAATTTTTTCTATAACAGATATTTTTCTAACATTAAAAAGAGTTGATCTGCTGCACAGATTTAAACCTAACCCAAGTAAAGGTACATTTCAAAAACAAGCTTCCTGTTACAGATATGTGTTTGTGTGAGTACCAGCAGCAGCTAGTTTAAGTTCTAAATGCACATGTAAACCTTCCCCTCACATGGTGCACTCTGTGTTGACGACTTCTATGACTGAAGAGTTTGTGCTTTTTCTTTGCTCTCCTTCTCTGTCTGCTGCTCTCGGCTCTTCCGGACACTACGTAAGTCTACTCAGTGTGAGATTTGTTTTTCTTGTGGTAAACACTGATTGTTTATTTCTGGATGTTCACTGATCATCTGCACTGTGCGAGGTCAACACTGTGTTCTGAGCTTTTCAAACAGAATCCTTCGAGGACTCTAGTTGAGGCTGAAAGCTCCAGAGAATATATCTTGACAGGAAGACTTTGCAGGAAATGATTTTTAATCGTCTGTGTCTCTGCCTTTCAGCCATTCAAGGCTTCTCTCCTACGAGGAAGATTCGTAACTTTGAGGAGGCTCGAGGTCTCGACAGGATCAACGAGAGGATGCCGCCGCGCAAAGACGGCCAGCAGCCAGACGGCACTACAATCAACTCAAACAGCCCCAACAAGAACGGCACTGATGGATAGAAACACCAACAGCCACTTTGAGCCCTTAGCTCCTGATCGTCTCCTGCCTCTGTCTCTGTCTCTGTCTCTGTCTCTATCTCTCTCTCTCTCTCTCTCTCTGAAGGATGAACACTCAGACGCATCAGCAGGTTTTTAGAAAAGGTCAAAGAGCGCGGGAAAAAGAACAAACCAAACATTTAAACTAAATCTAGTTGAAGGATTGAGAACATTTTACTGACTGAAGTCAAATGTATATCATACATGTAAGTCCTCACATACACCGGTCAGATAACAAGGAGAATATTACATTTGAGTTGAGTAGGCGGAGCCCTGGATATTAAAAGTTACTTTCAGTTTTTTATTGTTGTTCAATGTGTTGAAGAAATAACTGTCAGAATATTTGAAGCACAGAAACTGAAGCATCATTTGGAGCTTACTAGATTCTTTAAGAGATGATTGGCTCTGGAGATTATACATACTGTGTGAGTTATAAGTGAAGTATGTTTGTGTTAAAGATACAAAAATGTTGAAATCCCAAAATGCCCCCCGCTGTGAGGAGCATATGTGAACGACTAGGTCAGGAGAATCTCCGGAGAAGTCCTCCTGTAAATATCTAGATATTATCCGGAGTGCAGGTGTGAAAACAGCTATTACACAGCTTGTGAGCTTCTCTCTTCTGTTGAGCCCTGCACATATTCACTGACACACTTTTCATTCTGTACGAAGACAACAGGCTTTAAAATACCCCCCAATGACTTGTGTTTCTAATGATTGATGACATGATAATAATAATAATTTATACTTTATTGATCCCGTGAGGGGAAATTTGTTTTTTACACTCTGTCTAGTGAACATGAACACAAACATGCAAAAACATTTGCATTTCCATTTCCATTTCCATTTGCATTAATGGAGAGGTCTCAGAGTGAGGGGGCTGCCCACAGTGGGCGCTCCTGAGCTGGTGGGGCTGTGCACCTCGGCAGTGCTCAGGAGGTGGACTGGCACCTCTCCAGCTACCAGGCCAATTTCCGGATTTGGTCCGTGCCGGGACTTAAGCCGGCGACCCTCCGATTCCCAACCTAAGTCCCTACAGACTGAGCTACTGCCACCCCCAACTACTGCCGACATCTTTGATGATGTAACATGACAGTTTCATTTTATGTTTAAACTTTCTGTCTTTCCTTGGTATCTGATTGCGTATCATTTTGAATCTACAGAGTGAAACATAGTGAGATCACAGCTTTAATATTCACTGCTGTACTCAGACTAAATGGACTTCCCTCTGGCAGTGATGATAAAACCGGTGCTGTAGCCACACTACCAGCTGTCTATGAAGGCCCGACAGTAACTCTCTCAAACATGGCTGACTGTTTACTCTTTTTACTCTAGTACTACAAGGGGATTAGAAACTAGCTTAGTTTGCTCCGCTCTCTTCTAGGTCTTTGTAACACCACAGCTCTTCAAGGCCAGCTTCTCCTAGGACAACCAACTCAACTAGTGCCTAGAAACACCAGACTGTAATTCTGTTGTCAAAATGCTTGGAGATTCGCTCCTCTCTTTAATTTTTTGAATGAGGCGTTCATGTGCCATGTCACCTTGGCCACACATGTCACAAACTGTTGTGTGTTTGGTGAACAGAGGTCAGCAGGGGTACTTGATGTATGAACTATTAGTCTGGATAACTTTTCAAAATGTTGTTGTTAAACATGGTGTTCAGTAGATACTTAAAGGGTTTGCATTCATAAATGTGTTGTTAAATTTTGAAGGTAAGGCTTTATTGGATGAGCCATACACAATCCTGACCTCTTGTTAGGTCGTTTATATATCCTGCAGAATGTAAAAAATATTGTTATTAAGAATCCTAACGTAGCTGTGGAGGGTTGGAAAATGTACCGTCTTTGTCATGCAAGGCCATGAAATCTTTGACGTTGATATAGCACTTGAAAGAAAGAATAAAATGAAAACACAGTGTCTCTTTTCATTTTGATTGCTTCTTTAACATTTCATCGATCTATTTACACATCTAGCTCCCAAAATGACAACACATGCACAAAGAAATGAATCAGCTTGAGGATTGTACAGTTGTGGAAATAATTATTATGCTAACATCCCCTAACATGTAGCATTTCTATTTTCAGAACTTTTCAACCAAACATCTTTGACATTGCATGGATCCTTTCCCTAAGTGTGTCTTGGGTTGTGCTAGAGAGCAAGCTGTTAATGCACTAAAGAAAGATCAGATACTCAGATAGGATCATATGATATGCAACACTAAAAACAGCCCTCTCTCTCATTACAAGAAGAATGTAATCATTTTTTTTTTTTTACATTTTGAGATCTTAAATTTATAAACAACAGCTAAATAACGAGTGTGCATTAATGAAATATAAAACACATGAGCATTAATAACAGGAAAAATTTTCTGATTCAACCCCAACAGTTCGCTTCACTCATCTTGAAATGGTTCTGACCTTGTAATCTGCAGCAGAGTTAGTATGGACCTAACAAACTGCTCCTCTGTGTTTGAGGACACTGAATAGAAAAAGGATTCAAAGTATCCTAAAGTGCACTGATGATTCCTCTTAGGGAACAAACATTACAAGTTTGCTTTACATTTAGAAGCGTTCTACAATTCATTTAGCAGACACTTCTGAAGCGAGAGTAAGAACAACACAAGGATCTAAACAACGTCAGTGCAAACGATCAGCTTGGAGTCCGATCAGACCGATAGGACACACAGGTGCTGACAGGAAGTGACCAGAGGCAGCCTTGAGTAACTCTATAACAAGGCACAATAATGCACAAAAGAGCTGTGATGTTTTAAACACCAGAATTCTTGTAAAAGTTAAACAACATAATATTAGTATAACCTAGCTGGGGTAAAAGGCTAAATTATTTTATTTAAAAAAACCCTTAATGTGCAGTAACAAGTAACAGAAGTCCAGTGTTTCTCCTCCACACTCAGCACGTAGCTGCTACTGTTCTTGTCACTTAACACAGGCGGTAAAGAAATGGCAGAGGAAACAATCATGACTGGAAAACTTTGGAAACATGTCCCTCTGATTTTTCTGGCTTGCCAGCAACTTCCCCCAGTGAACAAAATGTTTCTTCCCTAGTCACCAGTGGGTCTGTGTCAGACCTTTGGTGGTGGTACAGGTCTCAGAGCCTAGAAGAGAAACCAGAAGGGAAACAGCTTTGTTGTTTACTTCATTATTTGTGTTAAAGAAATACAATTGAAATCAGGAAAAAAGTCAATGATTACATACAAAATGCAAAGGTGGGACATAAGGAGGGGCTTAAATGAAGCCCCCTAAACTGGAAAGAATTTTGCAGAAGTTCATATAAGAGACCATCAGAAGTAACTCATCCATTCAAACACATTCATATGTTTGACACCAAGTTTGTGGGTAGTCACAAGAAAAACTATCTGACCCTTTATAAAAACCAGCGTACAAAGTGTTATGGATAGATTCCTAAGTCTCTAAGGGTGCATCTCAATTGTCTTTTTTGCTGAGTAAGGTTTTTAACTGAGTGAAATGACCCGGAAGCATTGAAGTGATAAGAGCCGTCTGAATTCTCTAAAAGCTAAGGAAAGGTGGGTCAATGCTTCCTAACCTCCTTTAGCTTAAGATACACCGAACCATCCTTTACCAAAGGAGATGAGATATGCCACCCCACAATTCCTTGCAGCCGCAACATTTAAAGCGAGTCGTGAAAATGAACAGTGACCGTAAAGTGACACAGATCATGTAAGAGACATTTTTATCCAGATGATGTTTTTATTCTACATATTCACTTAAGGATGCTTTGTGCAGTTGTACATTTGTATGCTTAAAACATTTTGTACATCTTAGTTAAAAGTAACAATTAATTTCATACATTAAAACTTATTTTAACCCGGGGTTAAGGTTAAAAGGATACTATCCACTTTACCTTAACCCACCTTTACCTTTGTTTTGAAACTATATTTTTCTTTTGGTCATTTTGTGACTCCTTTGGTTACCCCCTTGTTCTTTGAGTCCTACTTATCTTTTGTTTTGGAGACTAATTTTATGTGTGTCTATCATTTTGATAGAATAAGTGATTTGAAGGGCTTTTGTTCTTCTCTTACCTTAAAGAAACCAGAGGCCCTCTTATGTGGTATCTTTTTGTAAAAGGTGTTTTGTTAGTTCCCCCACTTGGGGAACGTAATGTAACAAAATATTTTTGCTTTTGGGGATCACATAGTTTAGGAAATGAATTAAGCTGTCCAATTTAATGAGATAAAATATGTTTTGCTTTATGGTGTCTCAGAGAGGCTTATAAGCTGCATGTCATGTGGCAGGTGAACATGTATGTAAAATCAGAATTACCTGACGTGCAGCTGTGTAGTTCTGGCCTGGGGGCTTAGGTCTGTTTCCTGCTGGGGGAGGTGGAGGGGGAGCCCCTCTGGGCTTTGACCGTCCAGCCTAAAAATTCAAGTAGTTTTACGAATTGAATGATTACTCAACCTGTAAAGCTGTAGATTTCCAACACTCTACCTGTGACACCATCGGTGGAGTAGAAGCCTGTTCTTTGTTTAGGCGGGAGCTCAGTGCTGGCGTCTTCCTCTTGGTTCTGTTATATAAAAAGAGAGACTTTAGTAATTGGCTTTTCAGACTTGTTAAAATGAGTTAACTTATACTTACGTTGGCAAAATGGTACTTTGTCGTTTTTTCCACATGAACCCTACCACACCAACAACAAAGCCTATAACCCCTAAGACTGCCAAAGTGATGGCAATAGCTGCTCCTGCAGAAACAGATCAGAAAACAAGTTGTTTGTGGTGCAACACAAGTGATTCAAATGTGTAAATTAGTAACGCAGAAAGAACTCATGATTGTGTATTGTTTGTTTGAATGAACAACAGTAGAAAGGTCTAACCAGTAGAGAGAGGACTTAAAGATCCATCCTTTGAATTGCAGAGTGGAGGTATCCAACCAGGCTCACACTGACACTCACTCCTGTGATTACACACCTGACAAACACAGAAGACATTCGTTTGTTGTGTTAACAGCACCATGTGCATCACTGAGATGAAATCAGAATGTTACACACAACAGATGTTCAAATCTTTTGCATCTTAAGATGTAGAGCAGCTGTGACAACAACAACATACTTCTATAAACTAAACCAAAGTGAACCATGAGTTCAGTCAGGATGTCAGTTACTCACAGCGTTCCCTGGACATTTTGCTGAACAGTTTGTGTTTAGGTAGGCTCTCTCCAGATCCATACATTGATTCTGACTGCACACCTTCAAAAACAAAGCAGTTACAAAGTCATTGCTTACGTTGATATTGAACCCTGGTATCCAATCTGCTTATGCTGGTTAATCATGAACACATTTACAAAAGATCCTCTCAACAGATAGCATTGGTTATTACCTTCCCATCAGCACATTTAGTCCCAGTGTCCACCTGGCCATAGTCCTGCTCATGGTTCTCAAAGAATGCTGCTTTGCAGGAACCAACCCGGACCATGCGACCATAGTTTGGACTGCCCTTTCCATTTTGGCAGAAGAGCTTCCCACAAAGCACGTCACTGCAAAGAAAGAGAGGATTGAAGAATATGTGAGCTAACTTATTCAGCAACACACATGCTTTCAGTAAACATTTAACACAAATACTTTATTTTGATGTTTTGAATATAAACAGAATTTTAAAAGGATGTGTTGCAGAGTAACTACTTCACTGAGAGTTAGGGTGTATTCCCATCAGGGAAGTCCTTTAGTTCAGCGGTCCCCAACCCCCGGGCCGCGGACCGGTACCGGTCCGTGGGTCATTTGGTACCAGTCCGCAGAGAAAGAATAAATAACTTACATTATTTCCGTTTTAT